TTAAGATGAGATCCTATTCTTTGCGTCCCGATTCGATCAACTAACCAATATACAACTGCTTTATTTTCTGTCAATATACCACTGCTTTAATTTTCTGTCAAATATACAACTGTTTTATTTTCATTCATTTATATTCTTGTACATATTATATCTGTATATTATTATTATATTGTAAATATTCAACACTTGTACATTCTTCCAAAAATACTTAATAAAATATTGAAATCATTAAAATCCTAATTGGTGGACTGTTGATTATATATTATGTATATTATCTGTATATATCTGTCTCTGTTTTTTTTCATCTCTTTGACAGGTACTCATCAATAAGGAATCAAATTCTTTGTATTGAATTAAAAAGAGAGGATTGGGTGTAGACATCTTCTTCTCCGAGTGTCGAGATGCTCACTGTAGTGTGGGTGGTTTCGATACTCGTCTTTCAATACGAAGACATTTCCATCCACTTTCTCTCCTAAAAAACCTCGGTTCCGCGCCGAGTACATTTTCAAAACCTCGGTCTCGTACCGAGTCCATTTTCAAATCTCATCTTCCAAATTAATTTCTCTTCATATTGAATTAAAAAGAGAGGATTGGGTGTAGACCTCTTCTTCTTCGAGTGTTGGGATGCCCACTGTAGTGAGGGTGGTTTCAATACTCGTCTTTCAATACGAAGACGCTTCCACCCCTTTTTCTTTTCAAAACCTCGGTTCCGTACCGAGTCCATTTTCAAACCATCTTTAAAATTAAATTCTCTTTGTATTAAATTAAAGAGAGAGGATTGGTGTAGACCTCTTCTTCTCCGAGTATTGGGATGCCCACTGTAGTGAGGGTGGTCTCGATACTCGTCTTTCAATACGAAGGCGCGCCTTCTTCCATCACCTCTCCTTTCACAACTTCATTCCGTAACCTTTCACACCTAAAACCTCGGTCTCGCACCGAGTGCATTTTCAAATCTTTTCACAATAAAAATTGAATGGTCGTGGAGTGGTTAGGCGTAGGCCTTCTCCTATCCCGAGTGCTGACGTTTACCGTAGGGTTCTCTGTCACAAAGCACTTACCATTCAAAACCAAAAACATTTTAATAAGAGAACGAAGCTCTCTTTATGTTGAATTAAAGAGGGAGGATTGGGTGTAGACCTCTTCTTCTCCGAGCGTTGGGATGCCCACTGTAGTGAGGGTGGTTTCGATGCTCGTCTTTCAATACGAAGACGTCTCGTTCGCCACACTTTTTTATAACAAAAACTTTGAGATAACGAATTGGGTACTGCCCGTAGGGGTTACTATCCGAGGACATGTCTCGCCCCCTAAAAACAACCAAATCAATCAAACGTGACTTCTTGCCTCGCATGGCGAAAACTAATCAACCTTTCAAAAAGGATATGTTACGTCCGTTCTACTGCAAACAGGTACGCATAAGTCTCCTCACATGCGAGCAGCAAAACACCTAACTGCTAGAATGCGCACGATAGCATCATCCGTAAAGACATCAACACACTGTTAGCACGAACTACGTTTGCTCTGATTTCTCATGTCAGATGAGAATACGTAGGCACAAGACGGCGATGTCTTGGCGAGCTCCCTTTTTCACCTTTCACCCGTAGTTGGCCGAACTATGGCTGCTCTGATTTCTCATGCCAGATGAGAATACGTAGGCACAAGACGGCGATGTCTTGGCGAGCACAATTCCCCCTATATCTGTAGTTTCCCGAACTACGTCGACTCTGACTTTCTCACATCTTTTGAGAATACGTAGGCCTAGGACCGCGAAATCCTACCGAGTCTGTTCTTTTTCTCTTCTTCCCCGTTACCTCTCTTTCCTGTTTCTAAACCTTTCCCTTTACCCCAGTGGAACACTTCTTATAGCATAATGTTTAAGCAAATAAATTCACACGTCGACAAACAAAAGGTTCCCATCGAGTACGATGGATGCGAGGGGTGCTAATACCTTCCCTTCGCATAACCGGCTTCCGAACCCGTTCTTGGTTGCGAGACCATCTTATCCGTTTCTTTTCTTAAGGTTTTCTCGATATTTTCCTTTCCCCTCATGGGATAAATAAAGTTCGGTGGCGACTCTTCTGTCCTTTCTTTTCGCCTCACCCGTCGTTGCACGATGCATTTTTCGAGTAGCGACAACACGTAAGGATACGTAGAAGCAAGACTCGCAATCTAGTCAAGCACCCTAATAAAAAACTTATGTTTAGTCCTTTTTTTCTTCAAGCTTTTAATAATTAGAAGAAACGACGAAAACTAACACTCTAATTCATAAAACTAACTAAATGGTTCCGTGAGTACAACGGATGTGAGGGGGTGTTAATACCTTCTCCTCGCATAATTGACTCTTGAACTCAAATTTGATTGTGACGATCATTTTCTTTTTTCTTTAAGAATTTTATCGATATTTTCCATTTTCTTTTGGTTAAATGAATTTCGGTGGCAATTCTGTTATTATTTCTAGCGTGCGAACACCGAAGTATTTTTCACGCTGCGACAATAACAACAAAATCAATAGAATCATTAAACATTAAATCTTAACAACAATAACAACAACAAATAAACAAAATCAATATAATTGTTAAACATTAAATCTCAAAAACAACAAAAATAAAAACAATATTAAATATTTTACTTGATACAACTAACATTAATAAGTTACTTTCATAGTTTCCTAACTAATATTAAACATTTTTAATAAGAAACTACTAGAGAATAGGCCATAATTCTTTTTAAAAGTTAAAATATGATAAAATATAGTTGTTGGGATTCGAAAGTGTGTCCTCTAAATACTTTATCCTACGGTTTTCAGCTCAATCGAAGTAATAGGTAATAAATTAAAATGTGCAAAAATGCAATTGAGGAGATTTAAAGGTGTCTCTTGAATATTTTTCCCCTCGCTTTCCGGTTCAACCAATGCAATAGGTGATACTAAAAAAAAAATTTAAAATATGACGCGCTTTACACCCTAGTTTGTTGTTGGCTTATTTGAATGTTTTTTTTTTATGAAATATATTATTTGTAATATAATTTATATATAAAATTGGGATAATTGTTCTCTAATAAACCGAGTGTTAAAATAATTATTTTTAATTAAAAAAATGCGCTACTTCAATTATAAATAAAATATAAAATGTGATATATTTTTAATTAAAAATTAAAATAAAATAAAAATGCCTTACAAAATAGATTTTACTTCAGATAATTAGTTAACAAAAATATTTTTTTATATAAAATATACTATTTATTGTAGTGTCTAATAGAGCTCATATCTTCAGAATCACCATGGTCAGATCACAAATCACTCAAATCACTATGGACAGATCACAAATCACTAAGAATTCAAAACAACAAATCAATACATACCTCAGAGCCACCATGGACAGATCACAAATCACTAAAAGAATTCAAAACAACAAATCAATACCACCTATCTCAGAACTAAGGCAAACACTCTATCTACTATTAATTAAAACAAAAAATAGAGTTATGAAGTCAACTAAAAAAGTAAATGAATTCACCGATAATCTACCTAAAAACTATTTTCAAGAAACAAAAAACTCTTCTATATCATCTCTTTCACAATTTTAAAAATATTATTAAAAATAATATCATTACAAACTTTTCATATAAAAAAAGAAACTTATGGTCTTTAGAAAAAGAAACTTAAAGATTTAAAAAGAAAATTATGGTCTTTAAAAAAACCACAGTCAATCCAACCACTAAAAAATGTTATCCCACAAAAAATGTTAAGTTACAAGTCACAAAAAAGATGAGAGAAGACTCCACCAAATTCCCCACAAAAGGGTTAAGAGACCCATTTTATTTACTTTTGTAGACTAATTTTGGATTATATTATTTAAAAGGCTATTTTCATATATACTGAAATTACTTAGTCAAAACTATCTAATTACTTAATACTAAAAATGAACAATAAATATATTGGGGTCACAAATAATCTCAAGACATTAAAGTATGAGACTAATTAGAAATAAAGTGCACATATAAAAAATGGAGCAATGTCCCACAACAATACACTACACTACACTTTGGGGAAAAAAAATTATATCCTCTTATATAAACTGACATAGCTAAAGTTAGATTGCACTATCTACCTATTTTATGTTTATTGGCATATAGATTCCAAGTAATATAATGGACAGGGTAACAACTTGTGCACTTAAGATTAAATTGATGTTAATATGCTACAATCAACAAAATAAAAAGGATTTGATTCTAAAAGCTGCAAAATAACCTGGAGATGAATATTGACCAAAACGCAAATCAAATGAATAACAGTTGAAAAGGTTACATATAAAAGCATGCATGTTTGCTTTTCCTAGGATTAAACTAAACATACATGCAACAATCTGAATTAAAAACAAATGGTTTTACAAATAATTAATATTCAAACAAACAATTACAACAGTCCAGAAGGAAGAGATAGAGAGTGGCTCGACATCCTCTCATGTCGATTTCAACCATTCACCTGCAAAGACCATGACATACAATCAGACAAATGCTTCTAGTTCACGGGCACAAAACAGTACAATATTACTATTAAATTATTTATACTTCCATGTGCTTTTTTTTTTCCTAGTAATTTTGTATATTTTTCCTACTCCTCTCACATCACATCCTTTCTCAATTACTGTTCTTGTTGAAATACTATTAATTTAACTTAAACTCACCACTTTCTAGTCATGAATAAATAGTAAAAAGTATTGTTTCAGGACAAATATTGTTCCTTGTGATGCAGTTTTAAGCATACTCATCAATCAATATCATGGTTTTTATACAAAAAATATTCGATTGCTTGTTTACATTCTTAACTTATATATATGCATGGGCCCATAATTGGCTTTAGAAAATAAATAACTATGCATCATGCATGCATTATTTTAATGTCTAAATCTTAGATCGACCATTTTTTTTTGTATATTAAATAGTAGTTTATTAGAAATTTTTGAAAACTAGGGTTTAGTATAGAAGAGTGAAACTTAACTGGTTTAGAGGGAACAAGTGTAACCAGGAGGTGGAGTTTTTCCACAAGCCAAAAGAAGCTGAAGAGCAAGTGGAACATAGATATTAAGGTTAAGAAGTTTAATCTTAAGAGTTGTGCAAAGACATGCAGCAGCTTGAATTTCAGCAAGTCCTTGAAGGAGAGGACAGCACTTGTTGACAGCAGGGTCACCGAGTCCAATGTGAACCAAACCACCGAGTAAATCAACACAAGCACCTAGTTTCAATGTGTCAATTGGACAAGTTTCATGTGATGGTGATGGTGTAGGTGTAGTTGATGGTGGTGGACATGAACCCCCTCCTTTCTTTGGTGGAGTTCCTCCTGTGCTAGGTGGATTGAGCACTGGAGGGACTGTCACCGGAGGAACGGCGACGGGAGGGAGTGGAACATGTGGAAGAGGTACAACTGGAGGAACGGTGACGGGAGGGATCGGAACGTGTGGAAGAGGTACAACTGGAGGGACTGTGACTGGAGGGATTGGAACGTGCGGAAGAGGTACAACGGGAGGGACTGTGACTGGAGGGATTGGAACATGTGGAAGAGGTACAACGGGAGGGACTGGAAGAGGTGGAAGAGGTACAACTGGAGGGACTGTGATAGGAGGTATTGTGACAGGTGGTTTTACAGTGGGTGGTTTTACAGTTGGTGGTTTTACAGTTGGTGGAGTGACGATTGGTTTTTTACCTGGATTGTGTTTTTTATGTGGTTTTCCACAATAGCCACAACCAAGAATAGGTGTAGCTGAGGAGATGAAAAGCATGCAAATGATGAGATAAGCATAGAACTTAGAGAAGGACTCCATGTTAAGAGAGAAAAGGGAAACTAGAGTGAAGTGGAGTGATTGTAAAAGAAAGGAGTGAAGGTGATATATAGGAATAGTGATGGAAGGAGTATGAGAAGAAAACAAAAAGGGTTTGTTATAGCATATCACGTGAACATGGGGCTAAATGGCTACTTCCAACTTTTGATAGCTGGCAAACATTTCATGAATCATTTTCCATCTATATGTTAACAAATATCATCAGAGTTAATAACTTTGATAATAGCTTTGGTGATGCTAGCTAGTGTACATATATTTTTGGCGACAAAATATTACAACGGTTATTTTTTCACTGTAGTTATAATATTTTTTTAAGCACACGTTTTTTTTATAAATTTTATTAAGAACATTTTTAGCACAGTTCTTTAAAGCAACCGTTGTCATAAAACTTAGATGATAAGTTTTGAATTTTAGCATAAATATATTTTTTAATACAAATAAGCGTGTGTCTCTTTAAATTTATTTTTATTTAAAAATTAAAAGTATAACCATTACTATTGTTTCATTTAATTGTGATTATATGTTATATATTTCACCACGGTTGCATCTTACCACCGTTGTAAAATTATTTCTTATAAAATTAAAACATAATATGTATTTCATTTCGTTCATAACACACAAGGTGCCCTAACGAACGAGAGGACAAGGATAGCAAAATCTTCACCATTTTCATTCATTTATGAAAACGGATATCATTTATGGAAACAAAATCGACATCCTCTTAGAATTACGGTATATTATCATATATCTCTCTCCCTCGCTCTCTCTGACGCTTTTCAATGTTTACGTTCCTTGTAAGAGTTATTTAGCATTATCTCTCTCTGATGCTTATGGATGTTTATTTTCTTCGCTAGGATGTTTTGTGTATTGTTCATGTTGTCATGTTCATGTTTTATTCAGATTTTGTGAATATGCTTTAGGTTTTGGTGTTGGATATGTTTATGTTCTATTCAGACATTGTGACACATTAATTTGAATATGTTTATGTTTTGGTGTTGCCATGTTCATATTTTATTCAGACATTGTCATATGCATATAATCATATTAGGATGTTGTGTGTGTAGCATAAGTGTGCATTCACATTATTCTTTTGATATAAATTTCAAAATTTATTATGGATCATAGTTGTACGAAAGCCTATTGATTATGTTCGGTGTATGAGAAAGGAGTTCTTGAACTCCTTGAATTCGCCGAAAAAATGTTCCCGACAATAATGATACTTTTATTGTCCCTGTGTTGTTTGCGGGAATATCATAAAATGGTAAAAGAAAGAAATATTCCATCACCTACGTTGTGATAGAATATGTCAAAATTATACAACATGGACGTGTCATGGAGAAGCGGGTAATAATCGAAATGCGACATCACAAATGGATGAAGATGATAATGATATGGATGATCAAATAGAAAATATGATTCGTGATATTGGAAAATCGTCTTATATGAAAGTCCATATTTATGATATTTTATGTATCGACAAAGATGTGCTTTTATATAATGGGTGCACCAGTTTTACGCGATTATCTGCGTTGTTAAAATTGTTTAATCTGAAGACAAAAGGTGGGTGTTTTGATAAAAGTTTCACATATTTGTTTGATTTGTTGAAACAAATGCCTACAGAAGATAACAATTTGTCGAATCATGGTTATGAGGCCAATGAGATATTGTGTCCAATGGGTTTGGAGCATGTCAAAATATATGCATTCCCTAATGATTGCATATTATATAGGAAAAAGTATGAAAATTTGGATCAATGTCTAGAATATGGTGAGTTGTGCTACAAGTTAAAGAACAATAATGGTGATGACAATGACAGTGTTAGTAAGAAGCGTCCTCCTACTAAAGTGTTATGGTACTTGCCAATAATTTCAAGGTTAAAGAGACTTTTTGCTAATGTGAATGACACAAAGGATATTATATGGCACGCAGATGAAAGAAAATGTGATGAAAACATTTGCCATGCAACTGATTCATTGCAATAGAAGAAAATAGATTCATTGTTTTCAGATTTTGGCCTTGAGCCAAGAAACCTCAGGCTTGGGCTTGCCGTAGATGGAATGAACCCCTTTGATAATTAACCATTCTTCGCACCCTTTTCTTCTCACGATTTATAACCTATCTCCTTTGTTGTGCATGAAGCACAAGTATATGATGTTAAGTATGACAATTTCTGGACCAAGACAACCTAAAAATGACATATATGTTTATCTAAGTCCATTAATGGAGGATTTAAAACTTATGTGGGACAAATATGTTGACGTTGATGATGCATATTTTGGTAAAAAATTTTAAGATGTGTGTAATGTTATTTTTCACAATCAATGACTTTCCTACATATCGTAATTTGGCAGAAGCTGAGTCTATTAGAATTCCAAAGTCTCGTCATGCTGACAGATTTGAAGGTAGAGGTACTCAAGGTTTAAATGTTAAGTTAATGGGTCGGGATGTACTACTTCAAGCACATTTCTATATATTGAATAATCTTAGTGTAGTTGAACTTTACATAACTACTAACATAAATGTTATAAAGAAAAAATATCCCTGAATGAATGACAAGTTGTTGTTAACACGATATAACACAGAATTCATAAGTTGGTTTAATATGAGGATTATTAATGATGATTGTGCATCTGAGATAATTAAATGGTTATGGCACATGCCAAAATTTATTATGATAACTTGGACGACATACACCATTTCTAATTATTCCTTTTAAACAAAAGCAAAAGATGATCGTAGTACAATGTAAAAAGTGGGGTTATGATTGAGGCGGAATCTATGTATTTCTCTAGTTTGAAAGATAAAAATCTTATTTTGGCAACCACCACGTTCTATGGTGTCATTGAGGAGATTTTAGAGATTGATTCTGTTATTTTCAAAGTTCCTTTATTTAAATGCAAGTGAGTTTCCAATAACAATGGTGTACAAACTAATGAGTTAGGATTCACACGGGTTGATCTTGGCAAGACAACTTATAACACCAAACCATTTATCATGGCTACTAAAGCAAAACAAGTTTTTTATGTGACAGACCTTGCAAACTTTTCGAGGAGATGGTCAATTGTTCTGAAAAGAAAATACATTTCTCCTAGTGATGATGGAAATTTTGATATTCCTTCCACTCTTTCTTATGAAACACAAGTGTCAACTTCATATGAATAAGTTGATAGAGATAATGTACATGTTATTCGTAATGATAATCAAGAAGGCATCTGAGAAAATTAACAAGTAAGTATTTTATATTCTTTATTAATAATTTATTGTATTTATAATGATATTATTTTCTAACAATTATTATTTGAAATTATAGGTGTATAAAGTCAAGACACCAAGAGACAAGACACCATGACAACAAGATGGTATTATTTGTTGTAATGATGTCTATATTGTAGGTTGTTTTGTGCCATTTTGATTTTGATTTAATATACAATTTTTTGTTTTTAATGAAATTGTGTCATTGATTTAATACAATTTTTAGTCTAATTCAATTAAAAAATGATTGTATTGTTCTTTCTATCCTGACCTATAAATTATTTCGCAACGATCGTTTGATTACGCCGTTGTTATAAGTTGCGCGCTACCTAACTTATAACCACGAACTCTTGCCCGCTGTGCATACTAGCATACATACAATCACACGCTATCTAACAATAGACGTGAAGCCGTCATTATGTGTTTCGCAACCGTCACTATATGAGTTTTCTGTAGTAGTGGTAGTATATATATTTTTATGTGTAGAATATATAGATAAAATTTTACGATCACTATGCCAAATAAGAACTTTAGCAGCGCTTTTTTTTGGCCTTTAGCAGCGCTGCCTAAAGTGGCGCTACTAAAGGTAAAGGCAGCGCTTTTTTATGGATAAAGCGCTGCTATAAGCCCCCTTTAGCAACACTTTTAGTAGAGCTTTTCCCCCCTCTTTTAGCAGCGCTTCTGAAAAGCGCTGCCTATTCCCCCCCCCCCCCCCCCTTTAGCAGCGCTTTTCAAAAGCGCTGTCTATCCCCTTTTAGCAGCGCTTCTGAAAAGCGTTGCCTATTCCCCCCCCCCCCCCCCTTTAGCAGCGCTTTTCAAAAGTGCTGCCTACTCTCCCCCCTTCCCCTCCCCCCCTTTATCAGCGGTTTTATTTAAAAACGTTGTCTATTCTTCACGTTTTTATTTTTTTATATTTTTTTCGATAAACCTGCTTATAATTCATGCCTTTAATTCAACACTTTGGCCTTATATATACATTGTAATTCAACACTTTGGCCTTATATATACATTGTAATTCAACACTTTGCCCATAATCATTGTAATTCACATAAATCTGCTTATATATAATTCAACACAAGCCGATCCTCAGAACAACTTCACAAATACAGTTACTTTACATATAATTATAAAACCGATAACTTTACAAATACATACGACTTCCAGAAATATTATTATCCCGCATCAATATTTGACAATACATATACCTTATACAATTCTCAACTCAAGAATGTATTGACACCATTCCTCCTTAATTTCTTCCAATCCTGCTTTTGAGTAAGTACCACACTTGAATTCATCAAAGTACTACACAATCTAGCAAAACATGCACAATTTAGTTTTAAAACTAATTACTCAGATGAAATATCGGTTAATTATTAAAATAAATCATATTACTCAGATGAAATATCTATTTGACTCGAGTGAATAATTTCCTTCATAAAGCGCAATACAAAATATCCGCAATCAATTCCATCATGTGATTTTTCCTCATTGGTGGCCATAATACCTGTAATTCAGAAAAACCAAATTATCAAATGAATGACAAATATGTAAATAAGAAATATATACATAAGAAATATATAAATAAGAAAAACATATATATAATTTTATTGAATGACATAATATGTAATTTTATTGCATGATATAAATATGTAATTTTATTGAATGAGACAATATGTAATTTTACAAGTACCTTTGTCACTAACATCTCTTTCTTTTCTTCGTTGAAA